TCATTACATTAAGTTAATTTTATTCATTTGTTTTGTTTTATTACCAAGTTAAAATATTCACTGTAGATGGTCAGGAAGTTTGGATTGGGGTGGATAAAAACTGAAAAGATTTGTTTGGAAAGTAAAACTTAAAGTTTGTCAAAAAAAATTTCTACAAGTAGTTTTTATATAATTACCAAAAGTGGAAAAGCTAATTAATTCATCAGCAAGAACCATCAATCTAATGCAATCTAATCTAACCTAATCTAATATAACCTAACCTAACCATACCATCAACATGCAAACTGACCACCCAGAACCTCTTTTGGGGAATAAATATAATAAGACAAACAGAGAAACAGATAACTTGTATTAACAATAACTTTGATCTTTATAATGAAAATGACCAGTAAACATTGTTTACAGTATATAATTATGTAAAAAATTACCATCATATTTTTACATGTTATAGACAGCAACTGATCTTCATATTCTGGACTAAGTGTATGACAAATCTTTTTATTTAACTTCTCATAAATCTATCCATACTAACTACTAAGATGAGTTAACTAGATAAACACAAGTTATGGTACCTTACATAACTAAATAAAATGTGCCATTATTCAATTCACTAACTTAAATGAACATTAAGTGGGAATTCTTACCTGGGACTGGTTCATTTGTGAAGATACAAACTGTATAAAATACCTTTTACACTAACAAAGACTTTTTGAGTTAAAAATGTTCACATATTGAGCTGTACATATTGTATGAAAAACATCAAATAACATACTCTTCTGATGCAGTCTTGATATTGCCGTTAATGTCTCCTCCGACCCCAGGGTGGCCGTTGATGCCGTTCTTAAAAAGGGTGATGTGGGTAAGACCATTAAGGTTTCTGTTTATAGCATGGGCAGGTGTAGAGTTGTGGGAAGCCCGGCGGTGTTCCTCACGCGCCCTACGAGCTATCTCTCTAATGCGCCTCTCTGCTTCTTTAGCCCTGCGCTCTGTTAATCAATTTAAAATCAGTTCTACGTAAATATTGGGATCTATGTGCAGTATACTATACTGTCATTAATGTAACATGAAAATGAGTAATTAATTCTTTGTACACAAACACTGAGAGATGAAGGTTAAAGTGATCTCTCCTTGAGACTGACCAATATTTTGATGGTCTTTGGTAAGAAATTCTTCTCAGTGCCACACAACACATAATGTTTTTCTCGGGGCACAATTTTTGATAAATTTTTACTTTTGGACAACATGGGAAACTTAGGAATTTTGTCTTTGCAATCAATCGTTTAAACAATTCTAAGACACTTTTCTTCTAAGACATTTCCCTCACAAATGACCTAGCCTTCCCTCTCAACTGGGGGGCTCCATCTCCCTGGACCCCCGCATATATAAGTCATAAAAGAAAAGTGACTTAGAACTGTCTAAACTACAGTAATTATAAAATTCCTAAGATTCTTATGTTGTCCAAAAGTAAAATATCTGAACTATAATACTCTACCAAATTTTTTACCGCAACTATTGTTGTATTACTGTTTACCTTGTTCTTGCCATGCTATATCATCTTTTTCAGTAGATTGTTTGTTCGCCGCATCTGCAACCTGTCGACGAGCTGCTTCTACCTGACTACGAAGGTGCTCCAAGATTTCTTTGTGTCTATGTTTCTTGGCTCTCTCTAGAGTGGCTGTCTTGAGGGCTTCCAGCGACCCCTCGGACAGTTGTTCAAAACGTCTGATCTGTGCCGCCACACCAATCTGTCCATCAACATTACAGAAGTATAAGTCTGAATCAAAAGAAGAGTTTCACATATACAGTATAAGCAGATCATCACTTGCATCAACAACGGTTGAAGTTTAAAGATCACACAAACATTCCCCTGGTTTTGACACACCTCATTTCCTTGTCCAGGAACTTCAAAAGCTCTACAGCACTATAAGCGCCATCAACTAAACAAAGGAAAATAACTAAAATTCACCTTATCCTCTTCTCTACCCGTGTGAACCTAAACCTCTCCATCAATAACTTTTAGTTAATCCATAGACCGGAAGCTGGGGATTTTGACTCCTATTTATCTTGAATGTGATGCAACTTTACTAATGGTTGATATTCTTGCTGTGCTGATATTTGTAACACACATGACCACATTTCTGGTGGTCTCTCTCTTTTGGGACTTGCCATTATGTCACTCCACAAAACTCCTACATTAATATCACACTCAATGATATTCCATAAAATTGGTGATTTTAATACAACTACGATATTGAGCAAGCTTAACTTATTCACTGTGTACAAACTAATTTATTAGACCCCGAGAGAAAATTATGGGAAATATTTAAATCCTCATCAAATTATTAATAATTAATACAGTTCTAGTCCTGTAATTGTTATCGGCACCCGTGTACTCCGCGACGTCTGACTCACACACCATGTGGTCAGTGGTGGCCGCGCCTCGCCAGATCTTCGTGGACGCACGGCAAGCATTTCGTTGTTAAGACCATAGATAAGGGCTCGGAACGCAGCTGGCTGACAATATCGCCCTGCCCCTTCAAGTGTACACATACTAGCTATAACCAGGAGTTACTTGGAGCGATACTAGGAGTTAAGTGGAGCTATAAGCCCGCACACGTGAGTGAAAGAACACAGTGATTGTTTGTATTATAGTGAAATGTTGTGAACTACAAACATGTATATTGTAAGGCAATTTGGATAATAACCATACAGAATAGTGTATTTACTAACTGGCGTATAATGTATACATGTAATGGAATGCAATCAGTAGTTAATTAGTGTCTCACTTCTACAGGTTTTGACTATATCAACCAATAAACATTGAGTGAATCCACGGTGTGGGTTTCTCTCACCCTTAAGACGTGACATCATCTAACTGTCGAACCAGTCGCAGTTAAAGTAATAATATTCAATCCACCACCAGCAATTAAATATTTATACAAGTAAATAAAATATTACAGACAATATACCGAATACACTTAATAATGAACTGTAATTATCAGGGGCAGATCCAGGAATATCAAAAGGGGGGTCCAAGAAGTTGTGGGTGGGGGAACATGGCAAGCACTGCGAGCCCACCCAGCTGGGAGGGGGATGTTGCTGTGAGTCCCCCAAGAAATGTTTTGAAATCTGACCAATATCAAGGGCATTTTGAGGCCATATTATATTAGGAGATATTCTGGGGTCAATAGTAATTACATTTTACTATACAAAAATGCCTGAGTACAATACTGCTTTAAACAAGAGTACTGCACACTGCACTGAAATTTTTTGATGAAAAGTGGGTCCAGACCCCCAGGACCTCCCCTGCATCTGCCCCTGGTTATACGGTAATATTGCAATAAACAGCAACCACAGAATCCTGGAAATTCACTACACTCAATTGATAGAACTATTTTTTCTATTTTCATTTTCTTATATTACACCGGGTGTCCGGGGGCAGAACACCCCTGCTAGGGGGTTAGGTAAGGTTTAGTTTGGTTATACAGTATTGTATAAGTTAACATGCACAGAGTACTGGTGTAGATGACTAAAAGTGTATGAAACGACAACTGCGCATGAGTGGTTGATGTCACATACACAAACAGTGGCGTGACCCAGCCTCACCCTGCGACGGACCAGAAGTGATCAGTTGTGCTGTGGCGAGAGATAAATGGGTATGGTGACTCTGACAGGGCAGGAAATGCAAGATGAGAAATTTAAAAAGTTCTGTGAGTACATGGAGTATATTAAGTACTGTACTACCTAAAAAAATAACTCCCATCGGCCAGACAGTGACCTGTGTCTAAAGAGGGCAGTGGTGAAGGCTACGAGCAGCAATCAGTACAGAATTGATGGTTAGTACAATATATCAATTAGCAAATATTGGATCATCAACTCTGCTCACTATTGAACAACTTGGCCCTGAATGAAAAAATCCAACTAGGCTCATTCAGACCACCATTTTTACTTTGTCTTTCAGAAACAGGAACTCTATTTTACATAGCTCCAAATTCAGGATTATGGCAGAGAATTATCACTTCAGAAGAAGAAAAGCAAAGGATTATTTGGAACTGCCATGCTGCACCATCTGCTGGGCACAGTGGTATCAATACCACAACTGAAAAAATTACCCAGCTGTATTACTGGAAGGTTGTAAAAGAAGAAGTTAAAGATTATGTTAGCCCAATTATCTCATTTTAATACATTTTACACTTCAATGGATGTTCTTATTAAACTTCAAATATAAACTTATAAAAGGTAAACAAAATTAAAGAGGAATTGCAGCACTTCTTCAGAACACCTCCAAATGGCAAGCCACATGTATAAGCGTACGTGCAAGGAACTCAAACATTTGCAAGTACGTATGAGTTTATTCACACTATGATAAACAAAATATACAAAGATAAAAAATTATTTGATGAAGTACATGTGAAGAATTAAATAAAAAATTGCACCTTCCTTAGGCTTTAGTAAGCCTTTCACAATATTTATACTGTATATACTTGTCACACTTGCCAGATGCTTCTGGTGTCATTGTACAGGGGTACCTAGTGACAGCACTAGGATCCCGCTTCCTCTATCAAGGAATAAATAATTGAAATTGAAAATTGAAAAATTCGCTGAGTCAGTATACTGTACGTATATACATAAGATTCCCAACTTCAACTTGAATTCTGGCAACTACGACTTAGATCCCCTTATTAAAGACATTCTGGTTAAAATTTTACCTAAAGGAGATTGAAATTTCTCCATGGGAATAAACCAAGTAGATATTAAAAACACGATGCAAATGTTGAAAATTTAATGAATCTAGGGAGGGCTATATCCCCCCTATGCAGAAGCCCACGAGGGCGGAGTTGTAACTTTGAATTGAATTGAAACAGTTTATTTAGCCAGAAATACACAGATACAGAGTGGACAATAATAACAATATTAACATGGCTGAGCCAGTTGAGAACCTGAGCTCTCTTTGAGGCACCTGATATATACTATACATTTATCTCAAGGAAGTATTATGTAACATTTAGTATCATCTGGAATAGTACAATAGCATGGAGGTAATAAGAACATCCCATAGTGTTACCACGGTTATCACTTCAATATTTATTTATTTTATTATTTATTTTTATTTATTTTCTATTAATATTTTGTTTATTTATTTATATATATATATATATATATATATATATATATATATATATATATATATATATATATATATATATATATATATATATATATATATATATATATATTTCATGTAAATCCACAATGAAAACGTGGATAAGATAAATCTTGATAAAATCACACGGGAAAATGGAAACAACGGAGTACCTTAGCTTTCGTCTTTATTCAAGACATCTTCAGAGGCAACTAGATTACATGGACAGAGAGAGGCTTAAATATACAGGGTGACCTAAAAACATGAGGTCAGGTCATAATGATGACATCCACTAATCCCCACACCAACACACACGTAGAGGAGCTTAAGAGAAGGGTGGTGACGTGACTAGACAGGTCAGGTCAGAAAAAAGGGACCCACAAAATAACTGTCATACATCAAGATCAAAGGTTTTCAAAGCATTTTTAACCTTGGGCCACTGACAAATAAATTTATGTAACATATTATCAGTTTTGAACTGACCATCACTAAGGTTTATTGATTTTAATTCCTTAATCAAACTAGCTTCAACCAGAAGTCTTTCTGTGACACAAGATGATTTGAATACTTCTAAGCTTTTTTCCCAAGCAATGGGGTGATTATTATTCCTAACATGAACGAACAAGGCACTGCTTTCAGATGCAGTTCTGATATTATACTTATGTTGTTTGATTCTGAGCTGCAGTGTTTTTCCTGTCTGACCTACATAATTACAATTACATTGGCTACATGGAATACAATAAACACTTCCATTTACATTCAAACTGTATTTATATGGAGTTCTTTGAGTCTAGATTACTCCCCAATGTAGTGGACTGTATTCCTCCTTGGTATAGATATGTAGATGATGTTCTTTGTCTTTGGCCTAAAAACAGTGACCCTTTGGAATTTTTAGACAAGCTTAATAATATTGTCCCTAGTATCACATTCAAAATTGAAAGAGAAATAAGTGAATCCCTTCCATTTCTTGATATGCTTATCATGAGAAATGGCCAAAACTATAAATTTAAGGTATATAGAAAGCCCACACAGGTAGACAGTTTCATTCACTTTTTATCCAATCACCTGGAGTCTACCAAAATGTCAGTTTTTTCTGCTATGTTCCTAAGATGTCTGCGTATTTGTGACTCTGAATTTATTGACGACGAATTTAAACACATTCGTTCTATTGCACAGAAACTTGGGTACCCTTCTGTGTTTGTTGATCGTTGCTTTAAAAGGGCTAAAAAATCCTTTCATTCCTCTGTAACCAGACAAGTTCCTACACTTAAGAATATTTTGACTCTGCCCTATCGTGATGAATTTGTCCCTTTAGTTCGGTCCCTCAAGCTTCTAAATATTAATGTTGTTTTCAAGTATGACTCAACCATTACCAATATGTTAATAAGGAATAGCCCAAGTTTGAATGTAAATGGAAGTGTTTATTGTATTCCATGTAGCCAATGTAATTGTAATTATGTAGGTCAGACAGGAAAAACACTGCAGCTCAGAATCAAACAACATAAGTATAATATCAGAACTGCATCTGAAAGCAGTGCCTTGTTCGTTCATGTTAGGAATAATAATCACCCCATTGCTTGGGAAAAAAGCTTAGAAGTATTCAAATCATCTTGTGTCACAGAAAGACTTCTGGTTGAAGCTAGTTTGATTAAGGAATTAAAATCAATAAACCTTAGTGATGGTCAGTTCAAAACTGATAATATGTTACATAAATTTATTTGTCAGTGGCCCAAGGTTAAAACTGCTTTGAAAACCTTTGATCTTGATGTATGACAGTTATTTTGTGGGGTCCCTTTTTTCTGACCTGACCTGTCTAGTCACGTCACCACCCTTCTCTTAAGCTCCTCTACGGTTGTGTTGGTGTGGGGATTAGTGGTTGTCATCATTATGACCTGACCTCATATATATATATATATATATATATATATATATATATATATATATATATATATATATATATATATATATATATATATATATATATATATATATATATATATATATATATATATATATATATACATACATACATATATATACATATACACACACATACATACACATATACATATAAATTAGAGTGGAATTTAAAAACATAAGTATAATGGGGGAGCAGTACAACCTGGGTTGTACAGTAATAAGGTTGAACAAGAGGACAGAGCTTTCAGGATTATGTCTAGTTGGCAATTATGTGTATTGCAATGGTAATTACTTATTTATTTACATGATAATTTCCGATAAAACGGATTTGGTGGTACAATAAAAGCAGGTACTGTAAATATAGTAAGTGTTACAAGAAGTATTAATACTTCGACAATAGATATTTTTTTAGAGATGATTTAAAGGAAGGGAGCGTAGTCTTTGCTCGGATGGGTGGGGGTAAGTTGTTTCATACCTTCACTCCATGATATTTTATGGAGGTCTGGGACTGAGAGGAGCGCATGGGGGGTGGTCTTAGTAGCTCTGGGTGCCTTAAGTTGTATCTCTGATTATTCTGGAACTGGAAGTAATTATTGTCAAGCAAGTGATTGATAGATTTGTAAACAAAGAGGGCACAGCAGTAAGTGTTAATATCCTCGAATTTTAAAAATTTCAATATAGCAAATTTTTCATTTGTGTGATCTGTTTTTTTCAAGTAGGTCATTGTCTGTACAACTCTCTTTTGTGCAGTAACCAGAGATTGTGTTTTTGAAGAGCCAGAGGCCCCCCATAGTGTGTGACAGTGTATCAGGTGTTGGTAAACAAGATCATGATAGATTTCTTTCATTGCTGTGAGAGTGAGTGACTGTCGAGTGTGAGACATAGCGCACTGTTTATTGATTTTACTGTGAATGGCTTGTACATACAGTTAAGTTTCTCATCAACAATAACTCCGAGGAATTTAGTAATTTGTTCGCGTTTGAGGACTATATTACCAAGGTACAGGGGGTTCAAGTCTGGGGGGTAAGTTTTTTCTTCTGTGAAAGATCGTGTAGTGGGTTCTCTCAAGGTTTAAGGTATTACCCAGGTCCCGACTTTAGTTAATTCAGTGTTCATAGTTCTCATCAAGGAATGGAGGTCTGAGTTGCTGGCATAAAGATTACTATCGTCTTCAAATAAGTTGTGTTTTATGAGTGAGCTGGCGTGGACTATGTCGTTTATGTACAACAAAAACAGTACTGGACCGAGAATTGAACCTTGGGGGATTCCATACAAGATTGACGAGGAGTCAGTTTGGTGGTTATTATAACAGACATACTGCATCCTGCTGGACAGATATGAGGTAAACCAATTGTGGGACAGGCCCCTAACGCCGTAATGTTCAAACTTTGAAAGGAGGATGGTATGGTTGACAGTATCAAAGGCTTTAGAAAGGTCCAAGAATATACCGACCGTGAACTGACTGTCATCAAAGGAATTTAAGATGTCATTAGTAAAGGATAGCAGAGCACTCTCAGTTAACCTTCTAGCTCTAAATCCAAACTGGGAGTCTGTAAAGATGTTATTAGCATTGCAGAAGGAACTTTCGGTGCAGGGAACTTCTTGTCTGCCTATATGCAGGCCAAAAGTTCCTAGTGTGTGACGTCATCAACCGCGCACGTGCAGTTATCGTTTCCTATACTTCCGCTCCGCTACACCGTGAATTCTGAACATGCAATCAATAGTACTATTATTTCTACTATTTTTTTTGTAAATAACATAATTTCTGTTGCATAATGTGTTCTTCTGATGTTTTCTTGTTGTGATTCGGACAATTTTGAAATTCGCTTCTACCGTAAATCACTCATTTTGGCTCTCCCCCACCCAGAACCCTGAATTCCCACCCTCTCCCCCATTACTGTTAGAGGGGGAGGGGGGAGGGTAATCCAAAACGAGTGATTTCCGATAAAAAAAGAATGTCAGATTTGAACCAATTGCATAAAAAACATCAGAAAAACACATTTTTAAAATCAGATACCTTGGTTGCTGTAAGCTGCAATTACCAAGTTCATTACCTGTGTATAGGAATACGTTTCACGGCTCTTAATAGAACCGTCAGCTGTACTATTAACACATCATATATTCCCGGTGGAATAACTTCCACAGACATTGTTACAAAGATTGTTATCGATGATCCAAGTGAGGTGTTAAGTCAAGACAATATCCTGGTGTACTTGTTGACTTTTGAATCATCAACTGAGCCAGATTACTTCATAAAATCCTGTTCAACTGAGCAAGCAGCTCTTCAAGGTCGGGCAAGAGGTTGTCTGGATGGTCAATCTCACACATCACTTACTATATAACACCTTTGTTTACATTTACATGTATTAAGGACAAATTACTTACCACACTTGAAGATGTTGATGATATTTCCAAAATTCTTTCATTTTCATCCTTTTCTACAATGGTCAAAGGTGAAGGTGCTCTTGGAGACGACAATGAAGGTGGTGGTGGTGAAGGGTTGAGGAAAGACATGATGGATGTGGTGGAGGAGAGACATGAAGGTGGAGAAGATCCTTGACTTCCCTGACCATTAGTATTACCATTGGTGTTTGACTTAACATCAGTCTGGGTTGAGGACTGCCATTTTGGGGTCTGAGTCACTGTAGGTTTTGGTGTGAGAATTGGGGGCTTCATTGATGTTGAAGCTTTAGCTGCTACATCCCACACAGGTAAGCCATTCAGTTTCTTTGCACTGGAGCTGTGACTGTTACCATATGAGGAGATACTGAAGGCAGGAGGTGAGGGAGGCAATGAAACTGAAGAATTGGATGATAATGAAGAGAGTGATGATGATGCAGACGATGACATGGGTAAATTGGAGCTACTGATCCCAGATGACACTGAGGATGTACCACCATTTGATGATGATGTGGTGTTGCTGACGGGAAATCCTGGTGCAAGATGCAGATGTGGAACGTTTGATGGTAATTTACGCTGCCTAGACTCTGCCTCCTCCATGGCCTGTATGTGTCCTTCCATCTCTACAGTTGCTTCTTGTAAGGACCTCACAACAGCCTCTCTTGTTGGGTCTCGTTCCTGAGAAAAAGTCAAGTCCCAAATTATGTTACTTTCAGATCAATACAAGATAATAAACAATAACTTAAACATTTATTGGTATAATTATGTTTTTAATTAGTTTTCTTTACCGGTATTTACAACAATAATTATTATTAATTACACTATAAAAGACCCCCCATTTAATGATTTCCACTTCATCACATTATATAATAAATTTAAAACAATTAAAGTACTGAAGAATCAATTTCCCAATATTATTAAAACACAACCAATACTCTGAGAAGTATTTCATGTACTATAATGTAATTCAAATGTTAACAACAGAAATACTAATAATGTTACTACACTCCTCCTTTCACCGCTTACTCAGCTTCCACCACTGGTTACCACCAGCCAGGGTCGTCTGTACAAAGCAGTAGATATCACAAATGTCATCAGATTACCACTGGCTGTCCCGCCAGTCTCCGGTAACTTCCCGACGATGGGTATCAGTGTACAGACAAACAACAGGCAGGTAGATTTCCACCAGGTCACAGAAACACACGTGTGCACTGTAGTTCTCTTTAAACGTCACAAATTCACAACACTGTTAACGGAGTAATGTCTTCACAGCTGGACTTCTCACCTCTAATACATAGTGACTATTGTACACTGGTAGTGTGCTGACTATGTCATAGTCAGCACACTACCAGTGTACAATTCCTTAGTCTTCTCACTTTATATTAATATACTTGCACAACAATTGTCATCAGTTGTTCTAATGCTTAGTCATTACACAAGGAACAGAAGCGAGCAACTTAGCAACTAACTGCCCCTGGTTAGGTTGGTGATACGAGGAGAAGAGAGCATTAGCTCTGAGGGTACAGTACAAGGTAAAGTTCAGAAGTGGGAAATATGGAAGGAGGTTGACAGCAGGTGGGCTATCCACCTTGCCCCTATGCAGGCCGCGCCAGCTTATAAACGCCTCGTCAGACACTTCATGAGCATCCTAGAACGTTCTACTCTGATCGAGGCTTACAATAATAAATAAATCAGAAAAAATTATGCAATACATTCTAGAATATTCTTACATAATTAATACATCAATATATACACGAAAATTTCACAAAAATTGCCAAAATAACTGCTGCATGGGACAGAAAACAATTAATATACTACAGGGTAGTTAGCAAAATTATAATACGAAATCATGCCTCGGCATAACAGTAAGTTCTGATCTCATTAGCCAAGACAAACAATAACATACTGTATAAAATTCACCAAGTCTAATATCAGTCCCAAGAACTGTGGAACACACCGCCATTAATTTATGTCTTAATACAAAATATACGAAACTTCCTGTCAAAGCTCACATCCTTGTACAGGTGTACAGTACATCTGACACTGGTGCAGTACAAGTGTTGTGTGTGAGAGAGGCAGGTGTGAGGACTACCTTGTGAAGGGTGTTCATGGTAGCTTCTTCCTCCATGGCCCGCACCGTCGACCTGCTGAGACGCACCAACTTATCCAGCTCCTCCTCCGCTGCTCGCCTGAGAACAATATTAACTTTTATTTTTCCGGTACTTTAGCATGTTGTGAACCACATAAAATCAAAACACAACAAACATTGTGTCAGGACAGTAAACACACAACAAACTTAATGTCTGGGCAGTAAACACACAACAAACTTAGTGTCTGGGCAGTAAACACACAACAAACTTAGTGTCTGGGCGGTAAACACACAACAAACTTAGTGTCTGGGCAGTAAACACACAACAAATTTAGTGTCTGGGCAGTAAACACACAACAAACTTAGTGTCTGGGCAATAAACACACAACAAACTTAGTGTCTGGGCAGTAAACACACAACAAACTTAGTGTCTGGGCAGTAAACACACAACAAACTTAGTGTCTGGGCAATAAACACACAACAAACTTAGTGTCTGGGCAGTAAACACACAACAAACTTGGTGTCTGGGCAATAAACACACAACAAACTTAGTGTCTGGGCAGTAAACACACAACAAACTTAGTGTCTGGGCAATAAACACACAACAAACTTAGTGTCTGGGCAATAAACACACAACAAACTTAGTGTCTGGAGCAAACTTAATGTCTGGGCAGTAAACACACAACAAACTTAGTGTCTGGGCAGTAAACACACAACAAACTTAGTGTCTGGGCAGTAAACACACAACAAACTTAGTGTCTGGGCAATAAACACACAACAAACTTAGTGTCTGGGCAATAAACACACAACAAACTTAACAGTAAACACACAAACTTAGTGTCTGGGCAGTAAACACACAACAAACTTAGTGTCTGGGCAATAAACACACAACAAACTTAGTGTCTGGGCAATAAACACACAACAAACTTAGTGTCTGGGCAATAAACACACAACAAACTTAGTGTCTGGGCAGTAAACACACAACAAACTTAGTGTCAGGGCAATAAACACACAACAAACTTAGTGTCTGGGCAATAAACACACAACAAACTTAATGTCTGGGCAGTAAACACACAACAAACTTAGTGTCAGGGCAGTAAACACACAACAAACTTAGTGTCTGGGCAATAAACACACAACAAACTTAGTGTCTGGGCAATAAACACAACAAACTTAGTGTCTGGGCAATAAACACACAACAAACTTGAGTGGCTGGGCAACCAAACACACAACAAACTTAGTGTCTGGGCAGTAAACACCTACAACAAACTTAATGTCTGGGCAATAAAGCACACAACAAACTTAGTGTCCTGGGCAATAGAAGCACACAACAAACTTAGTGTCTGGGCAATAAACACACAACAGAAAACTTAGTGTCTGGGCAATAAACACACAACAAACTTAGTGTCTGGGCAGTAAACACACAACAAACTTAATGTCTGGGCAATAAACACAAAACAAACTTAGTGTCTGGGCAATAAACACACAACAAACTTGAAGTGTCTGGGCAATAAACACACAACAAACTTAATGTCTGGGCAGTAAACACACAACAAACTTAGTGTCTGGGCAATAAACACACAACAAACTTAGTGTCACAGGCAGCCAAACACACAACAAACTTAGTGTCTGGGCAGTAAACACACAACAAACTTAATTAATCTGGGCAATAAACACACAACAGAAGCTTAGTGTCTGGGCAATAGAAACACACAACAAACTTAGTGTCTGGGCAATAAAACACACAACAAACTTAGTGTCTGGGCAATAAACACACAACAAACTTAGTGTCTGGGCAATAAACACACAACAAACTTAGTGTCTGGGCAATAAACACACAACAAACATTGTGTCAGGACAGTAAACACACAACAAACTTAATGTCTGGGCAATAAACACACAACAAACATTGTGTCAGGACAGTAAACACACAACAAACTTAGTGTCTGGGCAATAAACACACAACAAACTTAGTGTCAGGACAGTAAACACACAACAAACTTAATGTCTGGGCAATAAACACACAACAAACATTGTGTCAGGACAGTAAACACACAACAAACTTAGTGTCTGGGCAGTAAACACACAACAAACTTAGTGTCTGGGCAGTAAACACACAACAAACTTAGTGTCTGGGCAATAAACACACAACAAACTTAATGTCTGGGCAGTAAACACAACAAACTTAGTGTCTGGGCAGTAAACACAACAAACTTAGTGTCTGGGCAGTAAACACACACAACAAACTTAGTGTCTGGGCAGTAAACACACAACAAACTTAGTGTCTGGGCAATAAACACACAGCAGAAACTTAGTGTCTGGGCAGGTAAACACACAACAAACTTAGTGTCTGGGCAGTAAACACACAACAAACTTAGTGTCTGGGCAGTAAACACACAACAAACTTAGTGTCTGGGCAGTAAACACACAACAAACTTAGTGTCTGGGCAATAAACACACAACAAACTTAGTGTCTGGGCAGTAAACACACAACAAACTTAGTGTCTGGGCAGTAAACACACAACAAACTTAATGGGCAGTAAACACACAACAAACTTAGTGTCTGGGCGGTAAACACACAACAAACTTAATGTCTGGGCGGTAAACACACAACAAACTTAGTGTCTGGGCAGTAAACACACAACAAACTTAGTGTCTGGGCAGTAAACACACAACAAACTTAGTGTCTGGGCAATAAACACACAACAAAACAGGGCTATATCCAGGAATATCAAAGGGGTGGGGGCGGGGGGTCCAGAATTTGTAGGTGGAGGAGCACTTAGCAAGCATGGCCGCATTTAGAAGCAATGTGCACTTGATATCAGGCGATACTTTGAGGTCAATAATTGCTTACTTTTACCATACAAAAGCGCCTTAGTGGTGAGGTGGGTGACGGTGGTGTAGTGTGGTGAGGTGGGGACGGAGGTGAGGGTGTAGTGTGGTGGTGGGGGACAGTAGTGTAGTGTGGTGGTGAGGGACAGTGGTGTAGTGTGGTGGTGAGAGACAGTGGTGTAGTGTGGTGGTGGGGACAGTGGTGTAGTGGTGGTGGGTGACAGTGGTGTAGTGTGGTGGTGGGGGACAGGGTGGTGTAGTGTGGTGGTGGGGACAGTGGTGTAGTGTGGTGGTGGGGACAGTAGTGTAGTGTGGTGGTGGGGGGACGGTAGTGTAGTGGTGGTGGGGGACAGTGGTGTAGTGTGGTGGTGGGGACAGTGGTGTAGTGTGGTGGTGGGTGACAGTGGTGTAGTGTGGTGGTGGGTGACTGGTGGGGTGTAGTGTGGTGGTGGGGGACGGTGGTGTAGTGTGGTGGTGGGGGACAGTAGAGTGGTGTAGTGTGGTGGTGGGGGGACAGTAGTGTAGGTGTGGTGGTGGGGACGAGTAGTGTAGTGTGGTGGTGGGGGAGGTAGTGTAGTGTGGTGGTGGTGGGGGACGGTAGTGTAATGTGGTGGTGGGGGCTGATGGTGGTGGTGGTGGGGACAGTGGTGTAGTGTGGTGGTGAATTTGACAGTGGTGTAGTGTGGTGGTGGGTGACAGTGGTGTAGTGTGGTGGTGAGTGACGGTGGTGGAGGGGTGAGTGACGGTGGTGGAGGGGTGAGTGACGGTGGTGGAGAGGTGAGTGACGGTGGTGGAGGGGAGGGTGACGGTGGTGGAGTAAGGGAGTCGTCCAGATGTAGGAACTTCAAATATTTACCATATAAGGCTTGACTAACACCCGGTGGCCTGCAGGGAGGGAGGGTGGGGCCAGAACAGTCACTGGACATAACATCACCATTTACAACAAACTCGTACACAACACCATCATGGTATATAACAACATATATAAACATTAAGGTAAAAAAATTAGGAAACATACAACTTTAGAGAGAGAAAAAAAGACAGAGATACAGAAATCCTGATAACCAGGGGGTATAACCCGACAGGTGCTGGAAGCAGGCGGACCTAGTGACAGACTAACAGCCGCACGCCCCTTCAGCGCCGCCACACACGAGCACAGAGCACCATGGGTCTACACAGTGGCCACACACAGGGAGAGTTGTACAGTGGCCACACACAGGGAGAGTTGTACAGTGGCCACACACAGGGAGAGTTGTACAGTGGCCACACACAGGGAGAGTTGTGCAGTGGCCACACACAGGGAGAGTTGTACAGTGGCCACACACAGGGAGAGTTGTGCAGTGGCCACACACAGGGAGAGTTGTACAGTGGCCACACACAGGGAGAGTTGTACAGTGGCCACACACAGGGAGAGCTGTACAGTGGCCACACACAGGGAGAGTTGTACAGTGGCCACACACAGGGAGAGTTGTACAGTGGCCACATGGGAGGTTGTACAGTGTACACACAGGGAGAGCTGTGCAGTGGCCACACACAGGGGAGAGTTGTGCAGTGGCCACACACACACAGGAGGATTGTACAGTGGCCACACACAGGGGAGAGTTGTACAGTGGCCACACACAGGGAGAGCTGTACAGTGGCCACACACAGGGAGAGCTGTACAGTGGCCACACACAGGGAGAGTTGTACAGTGGCCACACACAGGGAGAGTTGTACAGTGGCCACATACAGGGAGAGCTGTACAGTGGCCACACACAGGGAGAGTTGTACAGTGGCCACACACAGGGAGAGCTGTACAGTGGCCACACACAGGGAGAGTTGTACAGTGGCCACACACAGGGAGAGTTGCACAGTGGCCACACACAGGGAGAGTTGTACAGTGGCCACACACAGGGAGAGTTGTACAGTGGCCACACACAGGGAGAGTTGTACAGTGGCCACACACAGGGAGAGTTGTACAGTGGCCACACACAAGGAGAGTTGTGCAGTGGCCACACACAGGGAGAGTTGTACAGTGGCCACACACAGGGAGAGCTGTACAGTGGCCACACACAGGGAGAGTTGTACAGTGGCCACACACAGGGAGAGTTGTACAGTGGCCACACACAGGAGGCAGCTACACACAGGAGAGTACACACACAGGAGAGCTGTACAGTACACACAGGAGAGCTGTAAGGGCTACACACAGGAGAAGCACAGTGGCCACATTAGGGAGAGCTGTACAGTGGCCACACAGAGAGCAGTGGCCACACACAGGGAGAGTTGTACAGTGGCCACACACAGGGAGAGCTGTACAGTGGC